ATTATGAATATGATATATTATTCTTACTGATTAGAGGCTCAGAGATCAAAATAATGAGATTTGAATGATTAAGAAACAAATAACAGTAATAACATAAATCAAAATAATGATGATACTTGTAAGCTCATAATTCTGTTTTAACTAGCAGTTTTAGAAGGATTAAGACAACAGTACAATATTAAATAAATATTTTTTAGGAATATCAAAGGCATGCAAGGGTAAAATGGAAAAAAAAACTAAAAAAATTACATAATGAACAGACAGAAGCAATGATTGTGTACGTGATTATAACTAGTTTTTGATTTATCACAACAAACTGATATCATTATCAAAACAAGATCACATCATAAGGAGTATTTGATTTATCTAATCATTATCACAACAAAATCACATCATTATCACATCTTATCGACAACGGAGGCATCAACACAGGAATTCTTTGATGATACTAACAACATTTAAAGGATGAAAACAAATCCAAGATAATAGAAAACTATAGATAAATACTAATTTATTTTCATTTATTCTAATTTTTATTATGGTTAAATAACTTAGAAGCCCAGAAGTTTTCTCATATTTTCTTACCATATGGGTGTTTTCTTTTGAACTCTCACCTATATCTATGGTCGATTTCCAGTCAGAACCACCCTCACTTTTTATGAGAACCGTAAGAACTGTTGTGCAACTATCAATCGTTTTTATTCAATGACGATGATTACATGTATTACTGTGAAACAATTACACTTTGGTTTTTAGCATCTGGGTGTGTCGGGATTGGTTTTGTGAAGTTATGTTAACATTTTCATGTTAATGTATTTTACATATGTTAACATATCTTCATGTTAAGGTATGTTCACTTATTTTCTGCTAACATTTATTTTGATTTTCATGTTGACATGTGTAAATTATGTTACCGTATGTGAACATTTGGCATCCTTTACGTTGTGTTCTCGAATTTGGGGAGAAAAAAACGAAATGAATTTTTTTGTGCGCAAAGAAAATCATTTTTCAGTTTTTAAAAATGAGAAAAAGGGAAAAAAAAGATGTTTCTTTTTACAAATATACCCTTTAAAAACATATCATATAAAATGAAAGGTTTGGTAGTTTTGTAATTTTAATAATATTTTAAAGAGATTTAAATTTCTTTCTTTCCTTTTCATTTCATATTTAGAGAAAACTTATCATTATTTTCTTTTCGTTTCATTTCTTTCTCTCAAAAAAAAAAAAGGTTTCGAAAGCACGAGTTTTTATTTACTTTCTTCTTCTTTCGCTTCCTTTCGTAATAAAGGTTTTGAGAACATGGTCATGTCATTGAAGTTCTCCTTTATTAGAAAACTGCACCAACATCCTTTACAACTTTTTGATAAAAAAATCATTTGAGGGTTTCAAGATGGTTCTTATGGAATTTTTTTTCTCCATATACATAGGGTTGGGTTTACGTTAGACCAACTTGTTTTTGTGAGATCTGTGAGACAACTTTTTTACATTTGAAACTTTACAGTAAAACACTGTGAAGGTAAAAAAAAAGACGAACCTTCACAGCAAAAACACTGTGAAGGTTACCTTCACAGTGTTTTGCTGTGAAATTTCAAGTGTAAAAAGTGGTCTCATGAAAACAGATTGATCTATCGTTATCCCAAGTCTATATATATATATATGTGTGTGTGTGTGTGTGTGTGAATAATCGTGTGAGAAAAAGAGTTAATGTGAGAAGTTTAAGAAGAGATCTGGACCCTTGATCATCTTTAATCTCAAACTCACCCATGAATTGCATTTGATACATGATTGATCTGGTGCATCTCATCCTAATGTGCACCCAAGGATGGAGATCCCTTCTTATGCTTCTCATCGGAACTCAACCTATATATATATATATATATATATATATATATATGCATGTTAATTTCATTTGAGAATTTCATGATTCTTTATTTTTTTTAATAGTTTCATTAATTTATACTAGAAGTAAAACAATACATTGTATTGTTTATTTTGCAAATTGTATGAAAATGTAACTTATTTTGTTTTGGTTCATATTTTTGGTTACATATTTCCAAAAAAATTATTTTACCACTCGAGATATAACATATTAAACATTTAGGTACTTATGTAATCGGTTTAACCATAAACTGATTATCATTTTATCGTCACGGATGATATGACAAAGAAATCAATATTATTTATTGATCTGGCAAATAATATTGATTTTTTTTTTATATAAAATTGGTTTTAAAATTTTCTATTACGCATTTGCGTTTAAAAATCATAAACAAGATTCAAAACAGAAGTTCACAACCATCATTGTAAAATCTAGAGGTGTAAATGAGTCGAGTTTTTAACAAGTTATTCGAGTTTGAGCTTAATAATTCTCGAACTTGAGTCGATCTAGAACACAAAATAAAACTCGTTTAACTTAACGAGTCGAGCTTCATAACAACAATGTTTTGAGTCAAGTCATTTGAGCATACATTTTTTCGAGCCGACCATGCTAATATGTCAATATATCATAGAATAAAAACATAAAAAATATATAAACCTCGAGCCAATAACCGAGTTAATCATTCGTGAGTTCGAGCCCGTAAACGAGCATCGAGCTCGATAACTCAAAAATACTCGAGCTCTACATTGAAAAAGTTGTTCAAGCTCGAGCTCGAGCCTGGTATTTTTTTCAAGCCAAGCTTGAATGACTTACTACTCGGCTCGACTTGTTTACACCCTTGGTCCAACCCATGGAGTTTTCTTATAACAATCATTCCTTTTTGTTTCTTTTATTATTCTTGTTTTGGAGCTCATCACACTCGCAACATAAGCCAAAGCTTGAATCCCAATCAATACGATAAAAAATTGGCTTTATAGGACGCCAAAGATGTATAAGGGACCGTTTACCTAAACACTTACCCGGTAAGCGCTTACTGGTAAAATCCAATACTATCGTTTACTTACCGAGTAAGATTTGAGTCTACCAAAACGATATTGTATTAATAGTTTATCCAGTAAGCGCTAACCGTGGTAAGAATCATTGCCATCACTTACCGGGTAAGACTCTTGGTCCTTGCCTTTTCTCTTACCAGTTAAAATTTTTGGTCCTTGTCATATTCATCAGGTAAGGTAATGTGACTTGGTAAGTGCTTACCCAGGTAAGCATTTGGTAAACGGTCCCTAAGTGTTCTAATAGCACTTAATTTATATGACCAAACGATATAACATTCTATCTAATAGTGTTGTAATAAATTTATAGGACATTTTTTTTGGCATATTAACAAGCTTTTTAGAACATTTTTAAAATAAAGTGTCGTATTTGCTATTTTATATGACACTTTTCAAATAGTGTTATCTTAAAAACAAATATCTTATAAAAACATGTGTTTGTATAACACTTTTCAAAAATGTCCTATAAAATAGTAAAATGATGCTTCATTTTAATTTTCTTTCTAAAAGAACTTGTTAAGACACCTAAAAATGTCATATAACTTATTACAACACTTTTAGATATGACATTTAATTATTTGGTCCTATAGACTTAAGATTTATAAAGCGATTTTTTTTTACTTTCTATTATTAACCTGGATACTCAACTTGCTATGCGAGTCAACTAATCCCAGAGCACCCAACTGTTTTGCAGGTAGCCCAGAGTCATCGCATTTGAATCTCTGTAGCCACACAAGGAATTTTATTCCTCATTGAATTTAAACTTGGGACCTCCAAACACTTTTAACCTTTGAAGCTCAACCTCAAAGGGTCAAACCAATCAGGTACCATCCTTAGGATACCTAGATATTGTTGACGTTCTATAAACCCGATTTTGTTATAATGAATGCATGTTTGCTTCTCTCTGGAATCCATATACCTAATCATTCAAGCTGTAATCCGGTCTCGTCTTATTTTTCGGATTGTGACTTCTCCTGGCTGGTGAGGACAAAAACCTTTGACGGAATTGATGTGACCAAACCATAGTTAAAATCAATGTGAAACATGCCCATCCCTCCAGAGGATGAAGATGATTTATTTATGACTGAGACTTATCGTCGGAGGCAATGGTGAAAAATTACAAATTTTACAAGTTAAAAAAATTGACATGGATTTTTTTTGCTTAGTTGACATTAAAAAACTCAATGACACATTAGTAAAAAGCCCGTTCTTATTAATCATTTTCTAGTTATTAGGTAAACCAGATACCTAAATATCTGAGATACTACTTTTTTCAGGTATTAAAACAAAGATTTTGAAATTATGTTGCCCAAAATATAAATTAGATTAAGTACGTTATATTTTCATACATTTGACTCTTCTATTGATATAAAAAGGGAACCACACCGGCCCGTACTGTCCAGCCACAAAAGTATGAAATGAGAGACAAATCATGCATACAACTCCCTGCTAAGTGCTAGGTGGTTTGCTCAAGGGGCACGGTGTCCACAAGAAACCAAGTCCTTAAAAAAATTGTAACTTCCACATTGTGTCTGTCATACTTGAACCATCACTTGTTTTACGAGTATCCAACACATGATCCAACTATTAAGATAGGCTCAATGATACAAACTTTTATCCGGTTAAACATACCCTTGTGCATTTCACCAGATCTAAGAAAGACAACACCGTTCGGTTTCTTCTAGCTATGCAATGCAACCAACGTATACCTATGTTATCGACAAACCCATTTTCAATTATCTTATTACACCATTCAAACTATTTTCTAGTGTATTCTTAAGAAAAAACTGTTTATTTTCATCATATTATAATATGTTTCTGTAATTTTATTACAAACATCATTTGTTCTTTTAATTATATCAAAGGCATAATACGCTCTCCAAAATAGAAACCGAAATAATATGGACAAAAAACGTTGGCTACTTACTTCAACATGACCCATTTTAATCTTGAAACAAAAACTTAGAGGATCTTTTTTGCAATTTGAATATACATGAGGGGTACTTTTATATATTTAAAAAGTATGGGGGTTAAATTGTTATTTTTCAATTTTATACTCGTAAACCTCTGAACCAAAACCTTAAACCCTTTCTAGCAAGCAGGCGTGCGTGAGATCGATGATGGCATTCAGAGGACTCAAGAACACTCGAAATCTTTATCAAGCATTGGAGATTCGGAAAACGTCGAATCTGTTAGTATTTGGTTCCTTCTATTTCTGTGCTGATTTTTGTTTAGCATGCTATCATAACACCGGTGAATGATGCTACCTTTTAGCGTTCGATTGATTGATCGATTGTCTGTTATAGTGGGAAGAGAAAAGGAGATCAAATTCTATATATTATTTTGTTTGATTTTGTCTTCAATTTTGATGATACTGACACAAGAAGGTCAAGATCTTCATGCATAACGCAGTTGTGATTGAATTTTCAGGTTCGAAAGCCTAAGGAATTGCTCCAATGTTACAGTGGAAGGTAATTCTTTAGCTAATACTGCATTTTTCAGCGTCAAGTGTACAATGGATTATAGGAGCATTATAGTTGTAAAATTAGGGATTAACTTGTACTCTATCCATTTAGGGAAAACGGAGTTTATGGGTTTTATTTGCTTAATTTTGACAAAGTATATCACCAAAACCAGTGGCAGAAGCATAATTATAAGATTGATTCAATAATTGGTGTGTCAAGGTAGTTGTAGAATGGGCTCTGTAGATGGATACGTTGGAGCAAAGGTAAAACATGAAGAATGTACCTTTCTTTGTATATGGAACTGCAAGAGTTTGTGAGCATGACAAAATGGATGTATACATTGATAAAAACAATATTACAATGTGCAGTATAATTGGATGTCAAAAAAGTTAGATGATTCTGAAATGAGATGGATTCTAACACATTTAATCCGAGACACTTTTGCCCTAAATAGTTCAACTACCAAAATTAGTGATGAATGCTTCTTTTGGTTTGTCTTTATTCGCATGTATGGATGCTTAGACAGCCAGAATCTAATAGTAGTGAATAACTTTGCAAGGAGAGAAAGCAGTGTGAGTTTTAATGCCAGGAAGATTTGTAAAATATGACAACCTATAGATAACTATCCCAATAGTACCTAGCATGCTAAAACCTTGCACACATACTATATATGCGTCCTGGATAACACTGATTTTGAGTACTTGAATCTGTTATGTTGCTTCCAAATTATATATATATATATATATATATATATAGTACATAACAAGAGCTACTATTCTAATATATTAATGCATGCTAGCTAAGGAAGGTTCTCCAGATTCTGTTTCAGCTAGGTCCATGCTGTCTTATTTGGAATATCAATTGCATTAAAAAGATTTATTCGAGTATAATGAAATTGTGGTCAATTTTTTTTATCATCCTAGCTTGCTAGTAGATGAACTACATATTAAGAAACTCTTCATTCTACGTCCTCAGTTCCTGAGATCATTCGCAGAAGAAATACTCACTGCTTCTACAAGGGCCAGAATTATCTACCTTGCATCCATGGTGACAATATGATCCTTCGTACTGCGACGGTAACAACATTTATTTTAAAGCATCAGGATAGAAAAACGAATGCTTTTTGGATGTCTCAATTGTGATTGTTTCTCTCAGCACTCCTTCCCTTATCACTTCTACTTGGATCTACAGTTCTTAAAGTAAAATACTATGCTTTAACTGTGATGGTATATCATTGTGTTGAGTACCCCCATTGCTTTGTCTACAGGTTGCTGAATCATCAATCTTCTTCAATGGTTCACGAAGTTTATCAACACAAGTACAAGCCCCTGCCCAGGCACGGAAAATGGTATGATTATTTTCTTTCACTTGACTTGATCAACTGTTTTTCTTGATTTATTATGTATAATTACTTCTCCTTGCTACTACACCTAAATCTGGATTGATGCCTAAATGTAACCACTATTTTGTTTATAGTTATGAAATTGAAGTAGATACCAAAGGAGTCAGACTTAATTTTCAATTTGAAGCATAAGGAATATGACAGAGTGTTCGCTTATTTTAAGGGTAGTACTCCAATGCGGTTAGTGATTAGAATTGTATGTTACCGGTTTTTACATCAGAAGATATGCTTGAAGTGGTTCAAAGTTAATGGATGCAATCATGCAATACATAGGTGTGCATGCCTATCCCCATGAACGCACACTTGGAACAACAATAGAAACAATGAATTGGTCAGGAGAGGTGGAAGGAGGAGGGAGAAGGAATAAGGAGAAGGGAGGAAGGATAAAGAATTTAAATCTTGTTGGAATTGCATCCATAAGTGAGATGAAACCATTGTGTATTCCTTACCAAAAGAGGCAAAGCCTCACGTAAAGTTGTCCTTGCTTCAACATTCATTAAACATTTCATATAGTTCTCTAAACTATAATTTTAGTACCTCATTATTAGATATAATCAATACTATTTGCATATAAATCCCATACAAAAAAAGATGAGAAAAAAGAAGGCAAGAAGATGAGCCACATAAGTGGTGAATCGACCAAAGTTACGTACACAAAATGGATCTGGTAACGAGTTCTAATTCATTAACGATTTCCTCTTCTGTAGACACTCTCTAGTCAATCCAGTTGAAGTCTTTTTCCATTTTTTTATAGAAGTGTTTTCACAAACTATGAAAAGTTCTTTTTGCAGAAAGTTTTTCCTTGAAAATACTTTTACCAGTCGTTCCAGAAAAGCGCCAACTTATTGATTTTAGAAATTCAAAACTTGTGATATTCAAATTAAAAGTAACTCCTAAGTTTCAGAACTTATTGTTGTTGCAAGATGTTGTTTGGTTAGTTGTGATAATCCTTTTCAATTTATAACCATGCCAATTTTTATTAATCTGTTCAAGTAAAAAAGTTACATATTTTTCACTTAGAAGCCATATGATTTCTTAGGGGAGTCTATTAAATGCTACAAATGACGACAAATTATGATCTAGACATCTAGTAGTGTATTTTATCTTTATAACAGATTGCAGGGGTTGTATTGGTTGGGGGTGGGCGAAAGGGTGGGGCAGGTAGGATGTAATAACAGGATAGGGGATGACAAGAGGTGAAGTGGGATAGGGTGTGGAATGGGTGAGGCCTGGAGAGTTGGGGATGGTTTACCACTATTATGGGTTGTAGTTTGGGATCCACAGTTCCACACAAGAGTCGATTTGACCAACTGTGGTAGACTTTGTCTATCTAAATAACCTCATTTGACCCGTTAGTTTTTTAATGTTTGCCCATTGCTATTTTCTAGAATATTGGTTTGAAGTTCTTTTTTCTACTGGGTTTCAGTTGCCTGGTCTAGATATAATCCATGTAATTGAAACGACCCTCTAAATTGGGTAAGGGAACAAAGAGTCATTGTTTTTGGTTGGTATATTTAGCTTTAATATGTTCGACCGGGCACCTTGTCAATGAAGGATCAAGGATAAGGGTCATATATGAGGATGGTTATTATTTCTTTTTGTGTTTCTGTTTGCATTTTCCACTCTTATTTTGGCGGGCCTTACTTTGTTATCCTCACTTAAGCTTTTTAAAATAATATTAAGATTATATACTTTGTTATCTGTGATAACCGGGTCCTAGTTATTACCCAAGGTATTTATTATATGAATTAATTGTTTATATGGATACATGCTTACGTGAATTTAATATGTATGTGCATTTTATGCATAGGAATATATGCATAATATGATAAATATATGTATATATATATATGTGTGTGTGTGTGTTATGTATATATATATATATATATATATATATATATAATAGGTATGTTCATGTGTGTGCATGAAATTATGTATGCATGGGTAAAATTGTGCATGCATGTGGGGGTGAGAGGGTAGCCGATTTTCCATTTAAGGAAAGTATAAATATAAGGGTTGGGTTATGGGGCAAGTTTTCTTGCTTCATTTGGGAAGTTTTGGGAGATTTAGAGAGAAGTTGTTCGGTGATCTTTTGGCCATTCAATCATCTTCTTCAAAATCTGAGTTTGTCTTAAGGTGAGTGGTTTCTAAACACTTTTCAAATCTTTGATTTTTACTAAAAGAACTGCATATTATTCTTCAAAACTGGTTTTGTGCGGTTTGGGTTTAATCGGACAAGGGTTGATCGGACTAGGTATAAACCGGTCAAGGTTTGTCCGGATTACTCTTAAAACCGGGTAGGAGTTGTCTGATTTAATTATAAATCACTTAATTGTTGTGCGATTTAGGGTGTTAGTGAGAATTTGATTTATGTAAACCGGACAAAGGTTTTGTACGGAGAAGTATGAATATGATCAAGCATTGTGCGGTTTAGTCTTAAATCGCCTAAGGGTCGTGCGGATTAGTTATAAACCGATCACGTATTGAGCGGTTTAGTTTTAAATCGATCATGTGTTGTCCGGATTGCCTTAAACCGGACATGAGTCATGCGATTTAGTCTTAATCGACCAAGGGTTGTCCGGATTAGTAAATCGGACAGAAGGGACAAGTGTTGTCCGGATTGTATATCCGGATAACTTGTCCGGATAGCTTATATTTGTTAATTTTCAAATATTGATTATTTTAGACATTTTATATAATTTAAAAATGTCCATTATTGGGTTTAATTATGGGTTTACAGAAGAGGTATTTTATAAAAAGATATGTTCCTACCAAGCGTGGTGACGTAAGTCTGTTTTGGTATGAAACTGGATTTGGAAAAATGTTTCTACCAAGTGTGGTGACGTAAGTCTGTTTTGGTATGAAACTATATTTTGGGAAATATTTCTACCAAACGTGGTGACGTAAGTCTGTTTTGGTATGAAACTATATTTTGGGAAACATTCCTACCAAGCGTAGTGACATAAGTCTGTTTTGGTATGGAATTGGATTTTGAAAACTGTTTCTACCAAGCGTGGTGACGTAAGTCTGTTTTGGTATGAAACTTGTTTTAAATGGTAAGGGGCTGTTTGGCAGTTGCTGAATGATTTAGTTCAGAATAGCTAAGAGGTTAGAATGGCTAAGAGGGTCAGAATGGTTAAGTGCTGAATGAAACAAAGTTGTTTGGTAATTGTTTTCTGAATGACAGCAAAATTACCATTTTAACCCTCAAGAAATACAATCAACTCTAAACATTCTTTTAGAAAAAAAAGATGATGTTCTTCATGTTCTTCATATCAAGATCACAGATCCTCAAGAAATTGCAAAATATAGGTAATCCAATCATCATTAACATTGTTATAAACATGAAGTTAGCAATAAACACCATCAATTTTCAAAGAAAAATGCTACCCTAAACCAAACCCTAGACAKAAAAATGCTACCCTAAACCAAACCCTAGACAGAAAAATGCTACCCTAAACCAAATGCGACGTGAGGCTGTGGAAGGCGACGAGGCTGTGGAAGGCGACGAGGCGGCGACG